TCCAATGAAGACATAAAAATGGTCAACAGATATGTAAAAAGGTGCTCAACATAATTAATCATACATCAGGGACACACAAATCAAAACCATTAGCAGATATATTACCTCACACTCGTTAGGATGGCTATTACAAAAACTCAAGAGATAAGTGTTGGTGAGGGTGTGGAGAAAAGGGACTCACGAACACTGTTGGTGGGAATGTAAATTGATGCAGCTATTATGGAAAACAGTATGGAGGTTCCTAAAGAAATTAAAAATAGAAATACTGTATTACCCAGCAATCCCCCTTCAGGGTATATATCCAAAGGAAATGGAATCACCACTTCATAAAAATATCTGTACTCCCATGTTCATTGCAGCTAATTCACAATAGCCAAGGTAAGGAAACAACCTAAGTGTCCACTGACATGTGATTGGCTACATATTGTATGATTCTATTAATACACCACAGGAATAAAAAAAAGTTCAATGATTTCCAAGGGTTGAGGGAATTGGGAGTGGTTGTCTATAAAAGAGATTTTAAAAGGAAATTTTAGGATGATACCAGTACTCTCTGTGGTACTACACTGGTGAACACATGAATCTGCATTTGTGCAAGCCCAGAGAACTATACATACATACATAGCTTTGTAATATGTGTAACTATACATAGCAAAGAGTGAATTTAATGTATACAAATTAAAAAGGATCAGCCAGTACAGGGGAACCCCAGGATTGAGCACAGATTGCAACAAAATAACCTAATTGAATTAGAAATGTATGACTTAACCTCACTGAAGGGAAATGAGGGAAGAAAGGTTACCTAAAGTAACGTTGGAAAATAGTGTGCTAACTGGAAACGGTAAGGCTAAAAATAAAAGAAACTATACAAAACTACCATACTGATCTTTGACAAATGCAGCAAGAACATCTTGCTGATGTTTTTTCTTATGTAGGTAAGAGTTAATAATTATGGAAATACTTTACCCCTATGGTAAAGTTAAACAAATAAATCAATAAATGGGGATTGTTGAGTGCCAAGTTGCTCACTGTCATAGATGGATGTTACAGATAAGAAAGAAGAGGAGGATGGAATAGACTGGATAAGAGTTAGAGACATTAGTATAAACTCATATTTAGTTTAATACAGATGTAATGTATAGATACAAAAATTAATTTGGTGTGTATCAGGGTAAATAAATATATACTTTCTAGTTCTCTTGATAAAAAGGCCTAGACAAAGTAAAATAGCAGTATCAGCAAGAACACCCAGCATTTAAATCTTGACTTTTAAACACCATTTTCTATCAAAAGAAAGGAGTGCTCTTTGTAGAAATAGTTGATCCTGTGTCAGGGGTAGGGAAAATACAAGATGAGCCTAGAGCATCACGCAGTGTCATAAAGTAAGAACATACTCAAAAGGAACAAACAAATGAACAAACAAGAATGGACTATGTCAAAAGGACATAAGGGCCAAGTGGGGAGCTTCCAAAGGTGAAGGCTGGAACAATTCGAGCAAAAAATAAATAACCTAGGATTAGAATAATCAAAAGTACAAAGTAAACAGATGAGAACACATTAACATAAATAAATGATTGTAAATAATTAAATAAAGGAGAAGAGACAAATATGGCTCACAGAAAAACTCCAAATAGGTTATTAAAAACTGACCTCACTAGGAGGCAAAGCTTAGTTTCCCACTGCCTAGAGTGTGAGCTGGAGTTAATGACTTGTTTCCAAAGAACAGAGTATAGAAAAGGGGAAAGAAAAGTAGCTCTATAAGAGAGAAACTGAGGAAACTTTATCTAGGATGTGACAAGAAGAGCAATTCTTATCATTGGTATTACTTGCAAAACCTATATAGCCCTGGTATAATCATGTGGAAACATCAGAAAATCACAATTGGAAGAAATCCTATGAAATACCTCACCAGTACCTCTCAAAACTGTCAAGGTCATCAAATACAAGGAAAAACAAATAACCTGTCATGACTAGAAGAGATTAGGGGACAGGACAACTAAATGCGAGAAGAGGAAAAAGAAATTAGTGGAAAAAATAAAATATGAATAAAGTCTGAAGTTTACAAAACAACATTGCATCAGTCATGGTTTCATAGCTTTGACAAATACACAATAGTAATATAAGATTATAGCACAGGGGAACCTAGGTGAGGGTTTGTATTGTTTTGCACGGCTGCTTTAAAAAGTACTACAAACTAGGAAGCTTAAAACAACACATACTTATTCTTTCTCAGTCTGGAATGCAGAAGTCCAAAATCAGTATCAATGAACTAAGATCACGTTGGCAAAGCCATGCTTCCTCTACAGACTGTAAAGCAGAATCTATTTCTTGCCTTTCCCATCCTCTGGTGGCTGTGGGCATTCCACGGCTTGTGGTCACATCACTTTGATCTCTGCCTCTGTGGCCCTATTGCACACTTCTTTTTTTTTCTGTAGTAACAATTCTCTGTCTTCTTTTTTATAATGAATCAAGGAATTGCTTTTGGGGCCCATGCAGATGATAAACGATAATCTATTAATCTTAAATTAATCGCATTTACATAGTCCTCTTAGGCCACATAAGGTAACATTAAAAGGTTCCAGAAATCAAGATGCATAAAGAGTGTGCATTATAATAGCATATTGAATTTGTTATGTTTATACCGACAGATGTTATCATGTTTATATTCTGTATAGACATTTGGAATCATTTCAGTTAGTTGTGTAATTTATACATATGAAGTAATTTTTCAAATATAACTAGATATTAAACCTTAAATAATCTCATATTTAATGTCTTTTTATGATTTACTAAATAGCATTTATTGTATGTTTTGCTTGCCAATGCATGAGATATCCCATGTATGTAAAAATCGTTAGATGGTTTCAGATGATCCACTGGATGATGGGATTTCCAGAAAATCATTGTGTCCAAAAGTGGGGAGTGTAAGCAGTAAGTGAGAATGTAGATAAAAATATTTGAGCAAAACAGAAAAGTACCTGTATCTTTTGAAATGTACCAAATACATTATAATATAAACTTTATATTATAGAAGGTTCACTATAATCAATAGTTCAATGATTGAGCATATTGACACAGTTGGACTCAAAGCTTAAATATTTTATTCATTCATTCAACCAATATTTATTGATAATCTACTGTAAAACACAATTACTTAGGTATTGAAGATCATGTGAACAAAAAAGATAACCCATTGCTGTCATGGAGCTTACGTTCTAGTCAGGGGGGACAGAGATGACAAACAAGTGAGCAAACATCCAGTAGGTGAGTGCTGATAACCACTATGAAGACTAATGCAGTGCGAGAGGGCAGCGCACACGGTGGGGGAAAGTGACTGTTTTATAAGAAGGACTCTGTGACAGGGTAATATTAAAGCAAAGACCTGAATGGAGTGAGGGAAGATTCCTCACAGCAAGTAATGGCCCCAAGGTTGAAGCATGCTAAGAGTTGTGAAAAAATAACAAGATCAGTATGAATGAAATGCAGCAAAAGACAGGGGGAGTGACAAGAGATGATGGAGCTCAAAGTAAGAATAAAAAAGCAATATTAACCATTTCAAAGCATTTGCAGAGAGAAAAGTGTACATTTTTTTGGTTTCTCAATGTACTTTCTAAACAATGTGAAAATTGGTAGAAATATATAAAGAAATTGAAAAATGCTTTTAGTTTTTTTTTCCATTTTTTTTTTTTTTTGTACTCTGGTTATTTTATCTAATGCAGCTTATGGTAATGGGTATGCTGCCAGTATGAATCTGACCCTCACATCATGGGCACGAGGGGTGACAATCAGCTTTGTATCTCTTGAATATTCATAACCAATAAAAAAAGAAAATGAAAATATGAATATGTTGGTTCTATAAAATGACTCAGTCAAGACAGAAATAGTAACTCATGAAGTGCTATGTTTATGTATCTCTGGATAAATCGTGTCAAGGAAAAGCACATACTTTTATTTAATAGTACATCATTTTATTCCAAAAGGAGGACTTTCAGAACATTATTCAACTAAAGAAATTTTTTAAAAGACATACCCAAATTAAATATTTAGATTATTATTATTAAGTACTAGTGTAGTAGTCAGGGTTCTCCAGAGAAACAGAATCAACAGGATATATAGAGAGATAAGTAAGAGGAGATTCATTATGAAAATTGACTCATGATTATAGAGGTGAATAAGTCCCGCGATGTGACATACGAAAACCGGAGAACCAGGAAAGCCAGAGGTGTAATTCAGTCTGAGTTTGAAGTCCTGAGAAAGATGGTAGTGGGGGGAGCTGGTGTCGGTCATGGGGCCAAAGGCCCAAGAATCAGGAGCTCTATTGTCCAACAATGAGAGAAAATGAATGTCCCAGCTCAGGAAGAGAGATCATTTACCTTTTATTCCACCTTTTTGTTCTATTCAGGTGAGGCCCCAATGGATTGGATGATGGTCACCCACTACGGTGAGGGTGATCTTCTTAACTCAGATTACTGATTCAAACTCTAATCTCTTCTGGAAACACCCTCGCAGACACACTCAGAACAATGTTTTACCAGCTATTTGGATATCCCTTAACCCAGTTAAATTGACACATAAGATTAACCACCATGATTTGCCACACTGTATTTAATACTGGAAAATTTTCTGTGACCATGTGGGTGTGTCTTCACCGAACACTTTCATGCACTTCTGTTCTTGGGGTTGTTTTTGCTCCTGTTTTATCTATAGTTGCATTGACATTTGGTAGAAATAAATGCATGTAGAATGACTGAATACACCAATATCCTCAATAAGGTTTTTCATAAGCAAGGCTCAAGGTATCTTAGCCATCCTCATTCAGGTGCTGTATTTCTGAACATAAGGCTTTGTTGTTGTCGTTTTTCTAGACAAAGGACTTTTGAAAAGATAAGGGAATCACTTCAGGAATTCAACTTCAGTGTGATCATTAAAATGTGATTCAGGACATGGAAAAGATCTGAGAGGAATAAAATAAAGTTAATGTACATTCTATAATGTTAAAATCAAAATCCTAAAGACATGCTTGTCTCCAAAACAATCTTCAAAAGAGCACTCTTCACCTCTTTATTCCTCAGGCTGTAGACCACATGGTCAGCATGGGGATGACCATAGTATAAAACACAGATGCGATTTTGTCTGTGTCCATGGAGTGACTGGAGCTGGGCTGTAAGTATATGAAGATAATAGTCCCATAGAAAATGGAGACTGCAGTGAGGTGGGAGGCACAGGTGGACAGAGCCTTCTGATGTCCTGCGGATGAGTGCATCTTTAGTACTGTGATAAAAATGAGTATGTAGGATATCAAGATAATCATGAGAGCAAAAAAGATATTGAAGCTTACTACATAAACAAGAACCAACTCGCTGATATGTCTATCAGAACAAGAGAGAACCATGACCGCAGGAATATCACAGAAAAAGTGATGGACCTCACTGGACATACAAAAAGAGAGACTGAATGTGTCCCCAGTGTGGATGGAGGCATTCACAAAACCACAGACATAGGAGCCGACAGCCAGACAAGTACACACATTTGTAGTCATGGTGGTGGTGTAATGCAGGGGTTTACACACTGCTGCGTAGCGGTCAAAGGCCATTGAAGCCAAGAGGTAATTTTCCACAGTGCCAAAGGCTACAAAAAAGAACATCTGAGCAGCACAGTCATTGTAGGAGATGACCTTGTCTTCAATAAGTAATCCAGTCATGACCATGGGAGTGACAGCTGTAGAGTAACAAAAGTCTACCAGAGACAGGTTACCGAGGAAAAAGTACATGGGAGAGTGGAGACGAGAGTCAAAGAGAATCAACACAATCATCCCCAGGTTCCCAACCAGAGTAATAACGTAGATGAGCAGGAACATGATAAACAGGGGGACCTGCAGTGCCTGGTCTTTGGTTATTCCTAGGAGGATGAACTGTGTCACTTCTGTCCTGTTCTCCATCCTTGTTATCTGAGAATTATGAATGCTCTGTAGCAATGACAAAAAAGAAACAGTGTTATAAGTTAAATTGAAATTGAAAAGTATAAGTACAGAATGTATTCTTTCCTTGTGGCAATGGTTTGTACTTCAAGATTCTCTACAAAAAGTGTGGGCTGGACAACCAAATTTAGTGTATTAATTACATACAGAGTTACATCTGTTGAACCCGAAGAATCTTAATAGATCAACTATTTAATTTTTAAATTTTATAAATTTGTAATCTGAGATGTATAAAATTTAATAACTCGATCAAGATGACTTGTCTGGATGAATCTATCTGCCAATTCACTTTTCCTAAGCATAATAAAAAAAAGCTGACATTTATTTGTTTCTCACCTGCCAAGAACTGCTCTAGGCACTTCAGATGTACACTCACTGTTCCCTCTCAACAGCATTATGAGTTTGATTGGTTGTTACATTCATTTAAATTATGAAGCACAAGAGGTTGAGTAATTTATCCATATTTACACAATATTTATTGATAATCCATGCTTTGAATCCATGCCAACCTTTGAAACACATGCTGAGTGGTTCTGAAGTCTAATTGTCTACACTGAACTTAAATTAAAATAATTGTAACTCAATTTACAATTACTCATTGTCTCCTTTGGTTCAAACTCAGTGTATGGAGTTTCACAATGAAGTAAGTGAGTGATATATGCATAGTAGATGTGGTGGGATAACTGGGATGGAAGGGGCATGCTCAACCAGCAGAGGCAATTCTGAGAGAAGGCATATCATCAAATATAGCAGATATAGTTTCCAAGAAAGATGGCGACGGGTCCCGAACGCCCGCGTGAGGAAACAGCGCGATCCTGAGAGCTGTGTGCTGTGATACCAGAGTATTGACTGCATTTCC